CTTCAAATCTAGTCGTTCGGGCAATAGGTGCACAGAGAGCTTCATTCACGTAATGGGTTTCCAAATGAACGAGCCAGAACTGCATCACCCCAAAACTTAACCCCCTAAGCCCCCCCAACTTAAATATTTAAAAATGCAATGTAAAGACGGGGAAGAGGGTGCAAGGAAGAAGTTTCGGATGCTATGCAGTGGTGTAAAGCATGCCGCCACTCTTGGACCATAGAGCAGTGGAGACCTGTTCTCTGTAGTGACAAATCAGCTCGCTTCTCTGTTGGCAATCCAGTGGACATGTCGGGGTGGGCTTCGGCCAGTATGCCAGAGAAGAAAACGGTACTTGCCTGATGACTGCATTGTGCCAAATATAAAAGTTTGGTGGAGTGGGGATTTATGGTGGGGGTTGTTTTTCAGGGGTTGGGCTTGGCCTCTTAGTTCCAGTGAAGGGGAACTCTTAAGGAGTCAGCATTACAAAGACATTTTTTGGACATTTTTAATGCTCCCCAGCTTTGTGTGGGGAACAGTTTGGGGATGGCCCCTTCCTGTTCCAAACATGACAGTACACCAGTGCACAAAGTAAGGTTCATAAAGACATGGATAAGAGAGTTTGGGGTGGAGGAGCTTGACTGGCCTGCAGAGTCCTGACCTCAACCCGATAGAAACACCTTTGGGATGAATCAGAGCGCAGACTTGAGAGCCAGGCCTTTTCATCCAGGCATCAGTGCCTGACCTCACAGATGTGTTTCTGGAAGAATGGTCAAACATTCCCATAGACACACACTCCTAAACCTTGTGGACGGCCTTCCCAGAAGAGTTGAAGCTGTTATAGCTGCAAAGGGTGGGCCAAACTCAATATTGAACCCTACGGACTAAAGGACTGGGATGCCATTTAAAGTTCATGTGCGTGTGTAAAGGCAGACATCCCAATATTTTTGACAATATTGTATGTAATGATATATTATATATATATATATATATATATATATATATATACATACACATACACACATACATACACACATACACTGCATCCAGAAAGTATTCACACAGCACTTAACTTCTGCTACATTTTGTTATGTTACAGGAGCCTTATTCCAAAATGGATTAAATTCATTTTTTTCCTCAACATTCTACAAAAAATTAATACCCCCTAATGACAATGTGAAAGAAGTTTGTTTTGAAATCTTTGCAATTTATTAAAAATAAAACAAAACACAAAAAAAACACATGTACAATAAGTATTCACAGCCTTTGCTCAATGCTTTGTTGAAGATCTAAGGTCCAGAGCGCTCTGGAAACAGGTGTTCATCAAGGATGTCTCTGTACATTGCTGCATTCATCTTTCCTTTGATCCTGGCTAGTCTCCCAGTTCCTGCCGCTGAAAAACATCCCCACAGCATGATGCTGCTACCACCATGCTTCACTGTAGGGATGGTATTGGCCAAGTGGCGAGCGGTGCCTAGTTTTCTCCAGACATGACGCTTGGCATTCAGGCCAAAGAGTTCAATCTTTGCTTCATCAGACCAGAGAGTTTTGTTTCTCATTGTCTGAGAGTCCCTCAGGTGCCTGTTGGCAAACTCCAGGTGGGCTGCCATTTGCCTTTTACTGAGGAGTGACTTCCGTCTGGCCACTGTACTATACAGGCCTGATTGGTGGAGTGCTGCAGAGATGGTTGTTCTTCTGGAAGGTTCTCCTCTCTCCACAGAGAAACGCTGGAGCGCTTTCAGAGTGACCATCGGGTGCTTGGGTACCTCCCTGGCTAAGGTTCTTCTCCCTTGATTGCTCATTTTGGCTGGCTCTAGGAAGATTCCTGAAGGTTCCAAACTTCCTCCATTTATGGATGATGGAGGTCACTGTGCTCAATGGCACATTCAACGGTGCACAAATTTTGCTGTACCCTTCCCCAGATCTGTGCCTTGATACAATCCTGTCTTGGAGGTCTCTACGTACAATCCCTTGGACTTCATGGCTTGGTTTGTGCTCTGACATGAACTGTTAACTGTGGGACCTTATATAGAAAGGTTTATGCTTTTCCTAATCATGTCCAAGCAACTGAATTTCCCACAGGTGGATTTCAATCAAGTTGTGGAAACATCTCAAGGATGATCAGTCGGAACAGGATGCACCAGAGCTCCATTTTGAGTGTCATGGCAAAGGCTGTGAATACTTATGTACGTGTTTTTTTTTTTTTTTTTTTGAATAAATTAAAAAGATTTCAAAACGAACTTCTTTCACATTGTCATTATGGGGTATTGTTTGTAGAATGTTGAGAAAAAAAAATGAATTTAATCCATTTTGGAATAAGGCTGTAAGATAACAAAATGTGGCAAAAGTTAAGCTCTGGGAATACTTTCTGGATGCACTGTGTGTGTTGTGTGTGTATATATGTATGTGTAATATATATATATATATATATATATATATATATATATATATATATATATATATAAAAATACATATACACACACACAGTGCATCCAGAAAGTATTCACAGCGCTTAACTTTTGCCACATTTTGTTATGTTACAGCCTTGTTCCAAAATGGATTCACACACACAAAGTGGAAGAAAGAAGTATTTGATCCCCTGCTGATTTTTAATGTTTGCCCAAATATATATTTATTAGGCAGGTAAATGTGAAATATTGTGTAAAAAGATTTTGAATGCTCATATCCAGCCAGTGCATGGAGCCATCTGCCCCTTTTCACATTTTCCAATTTCTCCATTCTTGCTGCTGTAAAAAAAGTTAACAGAGCTCAATAGCTCAAGCTGAAATTTACACCCATTACTGAATGAGTGACTCATCCCTCCTTCTGTAGGACTTTCTCAAGTTTTAATTACAGAGTGTCTGAATAGAAACAACTTCTGTTGTGCTCTTCCTTTAGATAACCCAGAGTATTATGGGTATCCTTTGGTAAGAATTAATTGCTTATTTCTAAGGCAAGTATTGTGCATATTTATTTTTAAAAAAGGTATAAAACATCAGCTAAAAGATATAAAAATTAAAAAAAAAAAAAAAAAAAGTACCCACAACCATCAGTTTTTCTTTAGGGTCTGGGTCCAGAATATTAAACTGTAGATATACATGACAGCTGCACTCCAGGGCTATACAAATACTTTGAGCATTCCTTTAATATATCACCTAGGGCTAGTTCACACCAACTACTACATAGCAGTGGGTGTGCAATACAACCCAGCTGAGCTCAGTACAGAAGTGGATCACATTTTTTACTTTTTTTTTTTTTTTTAAACAAACGCTATTGAGATGTCACAAATACATGTCAGTGGAGTGCCTCTCTCTGCGCTGCACTGATAAAAAGTACTGTGCCACATACCACCTTGACACAGTTGTGTGAGCTGGGCACATAAGAGACAGCCTATAATAAGGCTTACCTGTAGGTGCAGCTAATATCTCCTAAACATGCACCGTTTAGGCAATATGGACAAAGCACACAGCCGGAGATGTCACAATATGCCATCCCTTCAGAGCTCCGTTCTGCAGCCGAGGGTTCCCGTGCGCATGTGCAGGTGTGACATAATCACGGCTCTGGCCATTCATATTGCTGGAGCCCGTGAACCTGAAAGGAAGACTGGGTGAAGCTGAAGGGCGGCGCCGGGGAGCCTTGACAGGGCGATGCTGGAGGGCTCCGTGTACAGGTACGTCTGTCATGGTGTACTAGTATGCGGTGCATACTAGTAGGTTATGACATAAACCTGCAGAGGGACCCAATGTTTTGTCTTTTGTCCATGTGATTACTACAGCTTTAAGATTTATTTTTGTTACATCTGTACATACTGAATATTATATGATTTGTGTTCTATATTTACCAATCATGATTCTCACTGTGTAGATTCCCCCATAATATTAAATCAAACATTTATTTATTTTATAAGAAAAACAAAAACAAAGCAACTTATTATACAACTGGTGAGTCTTTGTCCACAATAAAACAGATGCGAAAATTGAATCATTAAAAAGGCAATAAAGCCAAAAGGACCTACCCCCATTACTTTCCCACGCTGCTCAGCATCTTCCCACATGGAGTAGACAATGAATCTGCACATGTACTTCCCCTCTCGTCCTTGCTGTTTCATTCGTACCATACACATCCTAGAAAAAAAACACATTACTGTCATTACGATGCACTTCAATACATTGTTATTTTACCAGTTCATTTATTGGTGACACATACACATTCAGAAAGGATGATTTCAGACTTGTACTACCATGTTAAAGGATACAGTTCCCCATATCAATGTATTCCATTTTACAGTGTACAGTAGAAATGTGGTTAAGTTTATTTTGGATTAGTTGCTATGACTAAAGGCTAATTCATATTTCCAATCAAATTAAAAATCACTATGAAGCTTAATAAAAGGAGCTTCTTTAACCACTTGCCTACCAGGCACTTATACCCCCTTCCTTACCAGGCCAATTTTCAGCTTTCAGCGCTGCCACACTTTGATTGACAATTGCGCGGTCATGCAACATTGTACCCATATGAAATTTTGATCATTTTTTTCTCACAAATAGAGCTTTCTTTTGGTGGTATTTAATCGCCACTGGGCGCTTTACTTTTTGCTCTATAAATTAAAAAAAGTGCAAAAAATTTGAAAAAAAAAAAAAAAGTTTATTTGTTTCTTTTATAAAATTTTTCAAACAGGTATTTTTTCTCCTTCACTGATTTGCGTTGATGAGGCGGCACTGATGGGAACTGATAGGCGGCACTGATGGGCACTGATAGGCAGCACTATAGGGCACTGATAGGCAGTACTAATGAGGTGGCACGGATAGGCGGCACTGATAGACAGCACTAATTAGGGGTCACGGATAGGCGGCACTGATATGCAGCACTGATAGGCGGCACTGATAGGTGACACTGATGATGGGTACTGATAGACGGCACTGACTGGCATCACTGACTGGCACAACCCCTGGGCACTGACTGGTGGCACTGACTGCCAGCACTGCACTGGTGGGTGGCACTGGTGGGCAGCACTGGTGGGTGGGCACAGGTGGGTGGCACTGGTGGGCACAGGTGGGTGGCACTGGTGGGCACAGGTGGGTGGGCACAGGTGGGTGGCACTTCTGGGCACAGGTAGGTGGCACTGCAGAGTGGCACAGGTGGGGGCACTGCTGGGCACAGGTGGGGGCACTGCTGGGCACAGGTGGGGGCACTGCTGGGAACGGGTGGGCGGGGCTAGTGGGCGCACTGCTGGGCGGAACTTGCGGGTGTCACTGCTGGGCACCGATCATCAGGGCACTGATCATCAGTGCCCTGATGATCGGTGCCGATCCCCGCTCTGACAACTGCCGGTTCTCGGCAGTACTTTCCTCACGATCTGACAGCGTGAGGAAAGTGCAGCCGAGAACCGGCACTTGCATTTCCCTGTGATCAGCGTGTCATTGGACACCGCTGATCACGTGGTAAAAGGCCGGTGGGATCGGCCTTTCACCACATCATGTGATCAGCTGTGTCCGTAGGACACAGCGATCACGGAGATCGCCGGGTGCGCGCCCCCTGGGGCGCGCAGGAGAGCGCGTTCTGGGAGGATGTCATATGACGTCCACTCAGAACTGGCCGGCCGCGGGGAAGCCGTCATTCGGCTATGCGCGGTCGAAAAGAGGTTAAAATGTCATACCTGTAGGCCATGAGCAGCCTCTCCTATGCGTCTCAGAAGAAAACCTAGTGTGAACGGTCTTCCCCATTGTGCCTAGATGCCAGGACACACCATATGTGGGGTGTGTGCCCCAAGCAACGCAGAAACAAGCGCACTGCAGGGTTCAAAACCCACATATATGCAGTGTGTTCTCTTTCCTTCTTTGGACAATGCTGATCTCAGCCGCTGCTGGGTTTTAAAATGTGCAGAGTGCTTGTTTCTGTAGTGCGTCTAATGTATGGCCTGCCCTGGCATCTAGGCATGTCGCTTACAGTAACTTTTTTGACAGGTTACACAGGTTTGACATTTGTGAAGAAGCTTCTTTTTTAACAGCTGCAGAGTGATTCTAATCGACTTGGGATGTTTGATTGCATAGGAATATTTACTGAAAAAAAACCCAAAAACTTCTTTAACCCAATTTTTTTTATGTGACAATATTAGCGCAACAGATTATCAAATTTAAAACATACACTAAACTTAATTTTAGTGCACACAAATGCAATATATTACACTTTTTTTTTTAAATATAAAAGATGAGAGTGGACCGAGTAAATAGATTATTATTATTATTATACAGTATTTATAAAGCGCCAATAGTTCGCTCAGCGCTGTACATTACAAAGGGGGACAGAACATGTGACAGAACAATACCAATACAATGCAAAACATGAGGGGATCGAGGGCCCTGCTCTTTCGAGCTTACAATCTAGGAGGGAGGGGGTGGTGGCACAGGAGGAGATAGCTGTGGGGGATGGAGTGGTAGGAAGAGTGGAGGAGGTCGGCAAGTTAGCAGGGGGTGGGGTAGGCTTCCCTGAAGAGATGGGTTTTCAGGGTGCCAAATATGTCAAGCCTGAAAGTTGTGAGTGCCCCTGAAATAATGACAAAGTTCGGTACCCAAAATTATCCACAAGCGACTGTTTAAAAATCCTTATATGTCATCAGTTTAGGGCAGGGTTTCTCAACCAGGGATCCAAGCTTTTAGTCACTTTCTGCATAGAAACACCTGTTATTTGTTTATATTAGAAAGATCAATATAAATGTTAATTGAAATGAGGTAATTTCACTTCCCCTTTTGTGAACATTGAAAATTAACTTCTACACAATGTCTATAGTCACATATACAAATGAGGGCTTATTTTAAAGTGCTTTTACCGCTTGCTTATGTAAATACATTAGTGTGCATAATCTGGACACAGGTTCACTTTAAGGATAGTAGGCCTTCAATTAATCTGCCACAAGTATGTGGTAACTTACTTTTGTTCTGAAATGAAAAAAACATAAAGCCCTTTTTAGAGTGGATTCCGTTCCGATTATCATGGGATCAGCTCACAAATGATACAGGTGGATGACACCTGTCCGCTTAGTTTCTGCAGAGTGGGCACAGACAAAATCCGCTTTGCTCCATGGACAGCTGGGTGAAAATGGACCCCACTGTCCTTTTACACCCTACTACCCTCCAATCCGATCCACCTAAATGTAGGAGATAGACCCCCTTCTGTTTTTTTTTTTTTTATTGAACCAAATTGGACCCAGGGGTGCAGGTGTAACCAGACAGAAGTCCATTTACACCCGCGTTTCCATGGGGAAGCATGGATCATCCCAATGAAGTTCGCCTGAAAAACATACAGGTGAATTGTGATCGGATAGTCTGTCTGAAAAGGGCCCAAGTTGTCCAATACAAGATCATACTTGCCATTTGATTTACTAGGGCATCATCTGGCTATTGTGGTAAATGGTACAGCAAAAAGGTTCTTAAAGTGGTTCTAAAGCCTGAAAGTATTTTTACCCTCACAAATTCTATGCATGAAGGTAAAAAACCTTTGGTGTGCAGCTCTCCCCTCATACTCACCTGGGCCCAATCCCGATCCAGCGGTGTGCACGAGAGCAGCGGCTCTCTTGGGTCTCTGTCTACTCATTGGAGCCAAACCCAAAGGCTCCTGCTGCTGTCAATCAGCTCGTGAGGAGGGAGCGGGAGGTAGGGCCAGCTGTGTGTGTCACAGACACACAGAGTTGGCTCGGGAGTGAGCACATGAGTGCCCCCTGAGAAAGCAGCTTTCTCTGGGGGCACTCAGTAGGGGGGAAGGGGCCTGGAGCGCAGGTGCGAGGAGGATCGTGGCTGCTCTGTGCAAAACCATTACAAAGAGCAGGTAAGTATGACATTTTTATTATATTTTTAAAAAATCAGGACCTTTGCAATTACTTTAAAGGCAAAACTTTTTTTTT